AATTTAATATTATTTATAGAAATCGAAACATCTTTTTCTGATGTGTTTAAAATCGGTATGATTGCATAATTATCTTTGATTAATGTTATACAACTTCCAATAAAAACATTTTCTTAATTACTATAAGATCATATTTATAGCTAGAGATATAATTCCAGTTGTATAATTAGTATGGGTCCTTTTTACTTTAATGATAGATTCTGACAAGCCTAATTTCATGAATTCATGTGACCCTACAAATTTAACACGATTAAAAATAAAATTTAACACTTTTTGAGAGATCGTAAAACAATTGTACTATAGACCACGTAAAAGAGTACGATTTAATAATACGATATCTCGGCGCCAGGATTATATTTGGAATTGCATTAAAAACAGGATGTATTAGCTATGTTTACATCTTATTGTAACACGAATTATCATGCCTATTTTGTATTTTTGTGTTGTTTTTAAAACCTATCAATGTAAAAATATCCAACTAGATAAAAAATCTTCCCTATTTCATAATCACTATTCATATTTTCACTAGAGTACTGAAGACTAAGGTCCCTTTTGCGTGGTTTTACCATTTAGTATATTTATTTGTATTATTATCTGTATAATTATAATTATAACAATGAGTACACAACATGGAAATAAATGTATTTTTTTTAATTGCGGTAAAAACATATCTTAACTTCTTATTTTATCATTTTTAGTGATCTGAACTTCGGTTAAAATTGCTTTATTTGTTTGAATATTTTTTTCTAAAATATTTGTTTTTAAAATTTTTATATTTTAAACTATATTTTATATTTTAATTTATATATTATTAAAATTTGTTTTTTTTTTAATATTTCATTGTATATTTGAAAAAATAAATTACTAATTTTATACATGAAAACCTTATAATATGTGTAATTATTAATAAATATCTTTATTAGACTTGATTACTGGCAAGTTATGAAATTAAACACCAAATAATATAAAAATCTTGACAGTGGACAAATCGGTAGCGAGAAATTGTTATGTAATAAGTTAAGATTTTCAACACTAAGAGAAAATTTAAAAAAATAAATAATAGTCAAATTTAAATCAATATTAATAAAATAAAAAACACATTTGAGNACTTTCATGGATTGTCTTGTTGCTTGAAGTGCTTGAGGATATATCCATGTTTACAGTTGAGTTCTGACGTTTCGGACTCATTGCAGAGTCCATCTTCAGAGTGATGGTTGCTAGTCGGTGGCTGCAACTATACTGGCTCAAGCTACAGGCTTCAAGCAACAAGACAATCCATGAAAGTTTTAACACATTCATAAATTTGAGGGATTTTTAAAATTGCATAATTTTAGAAATATGTGAAAACATTTGAATGCAGTGAAAGGTAGGTGTAATGAAGCGTCAACGGCGGCTATTAATCCAACGATACCCAACTATAGCTATGTGTTGTGTAGGCCTTTGGCCATAGAGAGCCCCCTTCCTTGACTAACGTATGTATTAAAACAGTAGATCAACGGTTTACCTCTACATAGAAGGGGAGGTGATGATGAAACTCATCATAAGGTGATCATTATTATGATATTAAAGTAAATAAATAAATATGTCATCTATTGTTCGCGGGAAGACAATGGGTGTACAGGTGTGCGGTACGGGCTCTCAAAGGTGCCGACTAATTACGTCATCTATTGTCCCCGGGGACGCAGTATTTCCGGAATATTTTCAAAAATTAAGTTGAAAAAGTTAGTTTTTGTAAAAAAGTTGCTATTTTAGATCCCCCCCAATGAGCAGGTTAAGTGTTTTTTAACAAAGTGTGATTTTTAACAAAATGATATCAAACAAAAGGGAAATATCTAAGGTTTTAGTATAAAAAAAAATTTATGATGATTTGTTTATTTTTCAANTAAATTTGTAATTTTTTTGGATATTTCCCCCATTTGCGGGGAACGAGGGAATTTTTTTCAATTTTTAAGGGTAATGTCTTCAACTAGATACGATTTGTGATCTTTTGACGTATTTTTGAAAGAAATCGGTCCAGTGAGAGCTGAGAAAAAGTGGCAACAGACATAAAAAAAAAAAAACACATTATAGTAAAATTAATACCTTCTCAGCTTCGCATCGAAGCTAAAATACGATTTTTGTAAAAAATTCTTTTTTATATTTTTAATTTTGTAATGCTATAACTTTTTGAAAAATATATGGATCATTACAATTTATATTTCTTTTTCGTTTGACAAACTTTTTTTTTAAATAGGACCATTTCCATTTATACAGGTGTGGTTCAAAACTTAAAAATGAGTATAGAAAGTAAAACTTTTTCAAATTTGTTTAAATTTAAATATATCTGATGTGTGTGTATGGGGCCGCCATCACAGAATAAACAGAATGGACACTGATAAAAATTTACATGGTCAATATAGGGAGGTTATTAGAATCAGTCCACTATTTTTATGTAGGTAAATCAATGTGACCACTTTTCAACACTAAAATTGTGTATAGCTTTTTCGAAATGTAAAGTAACAATTTTAAATACGGTATTTATGTTTTCTTTTTATATTTTTGAAAGTGTACAACATTACATACTGACACGGCCGCGGCGTTGTCACACGTTTGACACCCTGCGGTCGTATCAGCTCCTTTTCAGCCACCGCTTCACTGTAAACCGGACCGTTAGACACACGCCTTATCGTCGTGGTGTAAAGTCCAACAAATGCCTAGCGTCGAATACCCCGCCGCAATAATACGTCCAGTCAGTCATCTTCGTGACACCTATATCGCTTGTCCGTCCGTTCGTCAATCCAACCGAACCGCCACCACAGTTCCGATCTTTTTTGACATCTATCGACAAAACCATCTGAGTGTGATCGTTCAATAATTCGTAGTATTGCTACTTTTGGTTTACCTTTATTCTTTTGTGCTAACATTTTTATTTCATTAAACGGCTTGACGCCACCTGTATAACGAATCGTGTTTTCTTCTTTTTTTTTGTGTTTACGACGTCAGTCGCAACAATACATATTTAAGTATTTAATATATTTAAATAATATAATAATAGGATAATTCAAATTAATTATGTATAAACACCAAAAATAATGATTTGTGTTTAATTGAATTATACATTTTTTAAATATTTCATGCAAAATTTTCTAAAATTTTTCATTAATTTTGAATGAATTATTTTATAAAATACATTATAGTTAAATGAATACCTTTTCAACTTTGCATCGAAGCTAAAAAAAAAAAGAATAAATTAACATAATAATACTGTTTTAAAATCATTAAACACATTCATAACATAAATTATACAAACATTAAATAATTAATAAATTAAAAAATATATAAAGGGAAATTATATTATTTTAAAAAACCCAGCACAGTGGGAACATGCCATAGTTGGGACAAGTATAGATTTAATCACTAAAATTAGAAACGCTTCGATGTAAATCTGTGGATAGTGTTTAATTCTAAGAAAATGGTATTGTTAAGATTAATATGCACTCAGAAAATTTTATAATTACTATTTACAGTAAATTTATTAGTAAAGCTCGATTTTTTTGCATTTTTATCGCAATAGATCACTTAAATATAAATAGTAATCATTTCTAATAAACTTTGGTATTAAAAAAGTTTCTACAAATGAAATATTCAGAACTTAATTAATTTTAATGATTTACTTTAACTAAAGGAACCAATAAAAAAAAAGTTGTTAAAAAGATTTTCTCAATTGAGCGTATTATAAAATTTAATTATAATTGTAAAAATGCATCGTTAAATTCAGGTGAAACTAAAAATACATTTTGTTTTTGTTAAAAATATTAGAAATGAATCATTTTGATTGTTTGTATGAATAAAGCTGTTTAAGGTTGGGTTTCTAAAGTACTTTTTATTTGATTAAGGGATTTTTTTTTCAATTTTTGAGGGTAATATCTTCAACTAAATACGAATTGTTATCATTTGACATATTGTTGAAAAAAGTAGGTCTTGTGAGGGTTGGCAAAATAAATCGTAGCCACAAAAAGAAACACATAGTAAAATAATATTAACATGAATAAGAAATTTCTTCTCGCGAGGGGAGACTACAGTAGGGTTGCCATAAAAGTTCAAGTACTGACCGGGACTAAATAATTTTTGTAAATTATTTACAAAAATAATTTAAACAACCTTTTTTTTAATATTTTTTTTTATTATAAAATTTAGTACACGGTGTAATGTACCTGGTCAATATATATATATATATATAATAAAATAA